GTCTTGTTCTATGCATTGGCTCTGACACAGACGCATGTCACATTGAACTCAACAAGATGTACCTTTAAGTTTCAACAGAGAGGTTATCCTGATACCATACTGCACAAGCTAGGATGAGAATGTCATCCAGAACTCACCAAGAGAAACCGCCTGATGACAGATTGCCCTTTTTCCAAAGATTTAATGGGGCGTCACAATTAATACGCAGGTCCTCAATCAGGAACCTTAACATTCACCAGGCAAACAGACATTTGACCACACAAATTAAGGCAGCTCCTTTACAGGCCTACCGCTGCAGCAGAACCATAAAAGATTATTTGGTCCAAGCAGACCCCAGGCCCAATTATATGAAAAGACCAGTCAAACTCTCAAACCACACAGAGTGCTTCAACTGTAACATTTGCAGTGCGCTGATCACAGGTGAGACATTCTCACATCCCTACATTGGGAAGAGATACCATATTAAGGGCTATTTAAATTGTGTCACAGAGACATGCATTTACTTGCTGAAATGCCCATGCGGTCTTGCATATGTTGGCAAGACCATGGGACCGTTTAAACTACGGTTCCAGAAACACCGCAGCGACATCAGAGTGGCCATTAACACTGTGTCCAAGGGGGAGACTCCGGACCTCAACAAGCCCGTGGCCGTTCATTTTGCAAATTGTAGACACCAGACTCACGAATTTGCGAGGTATGGTCATCGAGCATGTCACAGCACCCCATGCGGCAGGAACCATGACAAACTCCTTCTTCTCCAACGTGAGTCCTATTAGATTTACACACTCAACACTGCCATGCCTAGAGGTCTTAATACCAGCCTCACCCCCTCGTGCTTCCTCCCTGAACGTTAGTTAAACTAGGACTGTTTCCTTCCATGTTGTTTTTTGTTTTATTTTAATATCTCTCTTCCATGGTTGGATGTTCCCATACCTGGATTATGAGCATCAGCTACACAAGGGTTTTTGGTTTCTTTCCCATATGTCTACCTATGGACCTGACATCACACTTCCCATACATCTCACCTATACATTTTTACATTTTACACGGATACGTTGGACTACCTGGATGGACCCTGCTCTGACTGATAATGTTAATACAATATCTTCTTCCCTTTGAGTGAATGATACTCAATGTACTCATTCATACATATTACTGTGTAAATGGCTTTTGCCATACTCCACGTGCCTAGATACCCTGCCCAACACATATGGTTTAACCAATAAGTTTTACTCTTACGTCCATAAATTTTCACAATGCATGCATGGGTGCGTTGTCCTGTCATGCATTGCTCACTATGGCCTTTTGCACTCATAAACCTATGGTTTACTTCTAGCGTTCCTGGACTTTTGACTCTGATTCCTGTCTAAATGTGCCGAGAATCTGCTCCTTTAAGGAACACAGTAGACATTGTCATCATTTAATCATGTATTCATGTTTACTTTTTGTGTGGCTCTACTCACCAGGGATCATAACATACCCCTGTCCGTTTATTTATTACTTCCCCTGTCTGGGGACGTATGTTTACAATGTCTCTTTCTACATCTTGCCTCCTTTTTATTGTGGCGGTGAGTCCGCTATGACTTCTAGATAGCCTGCCTCCGTCAATAGCGTCCCGCCGTGACCATGGTTACCGGTGTCTTAGCTGGTTCCACACCCCAAGTGCTCCAGCTTCAGCCGTTACCCTGACAACTCGGGGTGTGGCTTTCTCTCGTCATTATGACGCTGCAGCCATCTCCCTATGTTCAGTGTTGGGTGGGTGTGACCGGAGGTGTGTCTGCGGGCCACTTGCCTGTTACAGGCAAACTGCTGGATTGACCGTGCTTATACCTCCTTTAATGAGGATTTCGATCTGTACTTCGTTCAGTATGTTATGATCACATTTTCTGCCTTATGTAATGATGGGGTTAACGTGATGTCATAGGGTCGCAGCAGACTCTGGAATTGGTTGTTTTTTTCACTGTGGTTTGTATATAAACTTGTCTCTCACCTGCATCTATATCGCTTGTTCTGCCTGATGAAGGGGATCCTGTGTGACCCCGAAACGTCACATTAGGTGTATCACACTATGTTACCCATAAGTAAATAAACAGACGTATTTGATTATTGGAGTGCTGGTGTGTCTGTATATTCTACTAGTTATTCACCACGGTTGCCAGCCGTTGACTATCACAGCACCCACCCTAATCTCTTTGGAACGATTGTTTTTGAGTGCAATGGGTTCATGGATTTTACGCAGAAAATCTATGGAGACACCAATATAGAAATTTAGTTTAATTTAGAGAGATATCAGCTTATTTTCCGTTACAGGAAGTAAAGGGAAGTCTCTCCAGTAGGACACGATTGGCAAAAATAACCCGATAGGGGTGTTAACCCTTCTAAACTCTACATCTGAAGAAAAGAAAAAAGGTGACTTTAAATACTTTGGCAAGTGATCATACATTTTGGAAATTGAACAATCTCTACTACTAAATAAACCTCAATGTGCATTAGAACCATTCAGTGGTGCATAACACCAAGTTTTTTTGTTTTATCTGTGCAAGTGCAAAAACCAGTACCTGTTGATCATGTCAGAAATTCAGAGCTGTCTTTTGTGTACAGTGCTCGCTTCCATTTTTTAATTGGAGGAGAGCAATAAGCCCTCCCAGTTCTTATCTTGAGACTACGGAATGATTGTTTATGTTGAGGAATAGGAGAGAGGATGGGTCTTTGGCAAGACAAAAAAAATAGCAGGGCTGAGAACACGCACAAAAAATGTGTTCTCAGTCCACAACAAGCCTTAGGAGCTGAGTATATTTTGTGTGTGTGTGTTTCAGAGATGTACTGCATATGTTAATGGGTTGTTTTTTTTTTAACATTTTGCCCTGACATAATTTAACTCTTTTTTTCATCTTGGTCCACTGTAAAGCTGTGTTTTGATGTGCACGCACACAGGCTTTTGATGGGGTATATTGCTAAAGCATATGTTTGTTTAGTAGGAAAGGGTATTTGACATTAATGGGGTAATAAACAGAAATTTAGGTAGGATACATTTAAGGTGGGCCTATCCTTAAAATCTACACCTCACATAAAAGAGAGATGTACAAGATAGCTAATTTTCTGGGAAAGTCTTCTGGTATTTGCAGCATTTAGAGACATACAATGGGGAAATGTGCGTGTAGTGTAGAGCTATGCTGAATGTATTTTTTTTTATTTTGCCTACAAATAAATTTTAAAAATTTTATGGGCCAAATTTTTTTTGCCTTTTTTTTTCTCTTAAGGGTCACAAGAGGACATACAGGCCTCCATATATCCAACTTGCATTCGACCCCTACTTACAAACGGAGGCTATTACTGTACAGCAGGGGGTCCCAGGCTGCAGTCAAAGTGTACCACGCAGCATTTCAGTAGCTGCAATGCTACCGCTCTTGTGTCGACAAGGAGTACCCACCTTTTTGGGTCTGGTTCGTAGTACTGTACGTAGATTACAGGATGTTGTCTCTTAGACGTGCAGACGAGGGGTGCCTGCCTCTTCTTCCCGGTCACTGTGAGGTTTTTACTGCGGTCTGTATCCGCATTAGAAAGATTTAATCTCACTTAAGTGAGGGGAAATCTACTACTAGGAAGGGAAAATCCACTCCTGTAAGAGTGATCATTGGGCAAAATGTGTCTCCACTGAAGCTTTATCACCAATCCTTGTTTCCACAACAACCCAACATGTTCAAAATCCAATTGTCACAGGGGCAGAAAGTGGGGTGAAATCTCCTGAACAGGGGCACAGCGAAACAAACGTTACAGGGGGCTAACCCTTCCCTATGTTACACTTAAAAAATTTTACCTGTTCCAACTTGCATACAAATTCAACTTCAGAACAAATCTACAGTCCCGATCTTGTTCGTAACCCGGGGACTGCCTGTATATACTAATATCCTCCTGTGACCCAAAACTCGGCATGAAGCGGACTATCGCCCACTATGTGCTTGACAGCACAGAGCCACGCTGCAGCCTGGACGGATCCCGACAGTATTGTCAGGATCCACCCCGCTACTTGATTGACAGCTGGCTCTGCCTTTCTAGAGGCAGAGCCGGCTGTGCCCACCCCCTCCCCCATCCGTTCCTCCAGTCAGCAGTAGAAAAATAGGGAGGGGGAATGCCTGTGGGTAGCGGTGACTGAGGGAGAAGATCGGAAACTGAGCGATCGGTGCTATGTGATTGCTTAGTTCCCAATCTAAAGAGCAAATGTGTGACGGCTTCAGTGTCAAATAGCATATGTGTTGAGGCTTTCCAAGATGAGCAGCACATTTGCTGCTCATCTTGGATAGCCTCAACACATATGCTATGCTATTTAAATCAACAGGCATCATCTCTATTGCAGTCCTCTCCTCGTTGCTCGGTTTTCTCCTGCGGCCCCTTAGGGGAACCAAGGTTGTGACTATTGAAGCCCCTGCAGTCCTGTTTTGCTCACTCCAATGGGAGAATAGCTGCGGCTGCTATATATGGTTACAATCATCCACATCCTAATGAAGCCACAGCTGTGGCGAAGCACGTAGATGATTTTCTACAACAGTTACTGTCCATTAATTTCAACTTAGGACTGATCATAACTTATCATCTCTGTATATGAGTATACAAGGTTTATGCTTACCAAGTTTAGGCTAAGCACCCATATGCATATGTTTTTATGTCTCGTATTTTTCATGTCTTTAATAAAATAATATTTTTACACAATTTGAAGGGTCTGTGAAGGTCCTATAATTGTCTAAAAAGCCCTACATGACTTCCAACCCTTAGCCTTTTGGCTTCGGAACTGTCTCTTTTGTCTACATATTGCTTTATTGGTGTGGCTTTAGGACCTTCCCCTCTTGAACATAACGTTATTACTAGCTTATGCACATGCTTTTTTGGGGTTTTTTCTTAGGATATATGTATATATGTAATGTGAATGAATACTTTTTTTTTTTTTTCTTTTCCACTGTCACTGCAATTTTTCATCAGTTTTGTGTCTCTTGAAACTCTAACAGAAAGCACATGAAGAAAAACGAGAACTGCACGTTAGGCTTGAGCAAGCATTACAGCAGGCCCAAGACCCTAATAGTAAAGGCAATTCACTGTTTGCTGAGGTATGCAATTGTTCTTCATTCTTTTTTCACCAATGGTAGAATAAAAATGCTGTACAGTAACTTTTGTTTCTCCTTGTTTTTCTATGCCAACTTAATATGCTGTGCATTACAGAATACATGTTCACACACCCGGACAAAAAAATACATTTAAAGAACCATGAGGTGAGTGATTTTCACTCAACCTCATAGTTGGAGCCGACTTGTGACAATGAAACTGTCACAGGTCGGCTCTATAGATCGGGAAGTGAGAACGCATACCGTCGCTCGCTCCCTTTCCAATCATCTCCCTGAAGAAAACAGTGACAGTCACCGCTCCCCGCTCTGATCCTCCAGCGCTGAGTGGAGAAATGGACGGTGGAGGGAGCGGGCACAGCTGGCTGTGCCTCTAGATAAGCAGAGCCCGCTGTCACTCATGCAGCTGGGTGGATCTCCACAGCATTGTCTGGATCCGTCCCGGCTGCGGCGATCTCGGTATATAGTGAGCAATAGCTCGCTATATACTGAGCTTTGGGGTCACGGGAGGACGTTGGAATAGGCCCTCCATGACCCTTAAAACAACTATGGGATAAAAAGGTTACCCCCATAGTTTTCTTTTAAATATTTAGAAGCCAGATCCCATTAATAAGGAGCCAGCAAAAATTTGATTTTTATTCTTATGTATGCAGTTCTCATGCCCCAAAGCAGCCACATATACAATCGCCATTCCTCTACTCTAATGTGTCGTCATTGGTGCGGTAGGGTTTGGTTACCACTATGCCTTACTTTGCCCAGAAATAGCCATATTCACAAATTCCCCGAGCTACCTGTCATCAGACTAGTGACTGACTGCATTGTTCTCACTGTCAGAAAGCAGGACCCTGCTTTACCCTTCCCCTGCCTACTCCAAGCCCTTCACCCTTTAAACTATTTGATAAGGTGCCCCAAAAAGAAGCTATGCACTGTGTGGCCTGAACTGAAATGTCTAGATTCATGGCTTCTATATGGAAACATATTTTATTATGTTCTATAAAAAATACATCAATTTAATAAAGGCGAAAAAAAACCACAAAGTTAAAAACACAAGACAAGTCCTCTGTGAAGTTCCTATTTCTGGCATAAAGCACATATTACAATGTTATCTTAAACCAAGTCTAGCAGGAAGTCAAAACATTATTGCAGGTGACTAGATCTAACCAGGCAAACCTTGGGTTTTACATTTACTGCTAATAAGGCTAAAGCAGTTAAAACACGGATGTTCCTCTTTTATAATCATGTAAAAAATGTCATAAACGTTGCTATGATCACATCCACAAATCATGAATTATGCAGACTCCTAAAGAATAAATGAAAGATCGTTCAGGTAAATGTGACCACCCTTTGCCTTCAAAACAGCATCAACTCTTCTTGCACACAGTTTATGAAGGAACTCTGCGGACAGGTTGTTCCAAACATCTTTGAGAACTAACAACAATTTTTCTGTGGATGTAGGCTGCCTCAAATCCTTCTGTCTCTTAATGTAATCCCAGACAGACTCAATGTTGAGAACCGGGGTCAGTGGGGGCCAAACCATCATTTCCAGGACTCATTGTTCTTTTACTCTGAAGATGGTTTTTAATGCTATTGGCTGTATGTTTGGGGTCCTGCTGCAGAATTAATTTGGGGCCAAATCATACGCCTCCCTCATGGTATGGCATGATGGATAAGAATCTGCTTGTATTTCTCAGCATTGTGGAAACCATTGATCCTGACCAAATCTCCAACTGCATTGGCAGAAATGCAGCCCCAGACTTGCAGGGAACCTTTGCTGCACTCATTATTGTACCGCTATCCATCCCTTCCGTGAACAAACTGCCTCCTGCTGCAGCCAAATATTTCAAATTTTGATTAATCAGTCCAGAGCAGTTGAGTTGCTTAGCCTTGTTTCCATGTCGGAGGTATGGCGTTTTGGCCACAAGCCCACAGAATAATGGCAGCAGGTGCTCTGGATTGATTCGTCAAAAATGTGTCAGCTGTCAATCAGGTAGCGGGTTGGATCCCAACAATATTGTCGGGATCCGTCCTGGCTTCAGCATTGCTCTGCGATGCGCTGAGTTTTGGGTCACAGGAGGACATTAGTATATGTCCTCTTGTGACCCTAAAGAGAACTACGGCAAAAAGGTTGGGCCATAGTTTTTCTTTTAAAATGTATGTGTTTGCAAAATAAAAAAATACATTCAGCTCAGCTCTACACTACATGCACATTTCCCCATTGTATGTCTCCAAATGCTGGTATTTGGCAGATGATTTTTCCCAGAAAATTGGCTGTGAGGTACAGAATTTAATGATGGGCCCAGTTTGGTAAACTATAAGATAATTTATCCTATAATTTTTTTTATTTGTTTTTATTTTTTTATTACTCCATTAATGTCAAATACCCTTTCCTACTAAACAAACATATTCTTTAGCAATATCAAACTATCAAAAGTGTTTAGAACAACCTTCTTCAAAAACTGTGTGCAAGTGTACCTAGAAGAATTGATGCTGTTTTGAAGGCAAAGGGTGATCACACCAAATATTGCTTTGATTTTTCTTCTGTTTACTTTCTATTTTGTTAATTGATTTTAAAAAAAAGCTACTAACACTTTTATGTGTCATGTTAAAAGTACACAGCCGCTAGCAGGTCTAAACACCTCGTACAAAACCACATTCTCTGACTGTTCTAAACCAGCAAAGCTATGTCCCTTCCTTGTTGTGGTGGTGCTTGCACTTCCTGTTGTAGGTATGTGGGAGGGAACTGGAAAACTACCAACAATTTTTCTGTGGATGTAGGCTGCCTCAAATCCTTCTGTCTCGTAATGTAATCCAAGACAGACTCCATGTTTAGAACCTCTTCAGGGCAGCCCAACAATCGGGGGAATTAATACCTGCTAACAGCTTTATTTATTTGATTTATTTTTAAGCTGGAGAACAACTTGTGTATGTAATGAGCGGATATGGCTGACTTTTTTTTTTTTTTTTTCCCTTTTATTCTCTCTTTTTTTTCATTTTCTTTTTTTCAATCGGGGGAATTAATACCTGCTAACAGCTTTATTTATTTGATTTATTTTTAAGCTGGAGAACAACTTGTGTATGTAATGAGCGGATATGGCTGACTTTTTTTTTTTTTTGTTCCCTTTCATTCTCTCTGTTGTTCCATTTTCTCTTTCTTTCCTCTCTCTCAGGTTGAAGATCGTAGAGCAGAAATGGAACGTCAGTTGATTAGTATGAAAGTTCAATATCAATCCCTTCAGCAGCAACATGCTTTTTCCAGGCAGCAAATGCATCGCATGAAGGTAAGGTATGAACTCGATTTAAAACTTTTCAGCTGGCCACATAATGCAGTTTGATTGCGCAAACTTCTTATTAAAATAACACTAAACTCAGGAGTTAAATCTTAAAAATTTATTGAAGTACCCTAACTATTAACAATACTGGACCTTATTTGTGTGTCGCTTGGCTGTAGATCTTCAAATTATCTCTGAATTCATGCTGACCCTGTCCTTCCTTCTGGTGGGTTGCTACTTTTATTCCCCATGTTTCCTGTGTGTGTTGTAAAGTAGCCACCCCTCCAAGCTTCCTGTGTGTGTGTTGTAAAGTAGCCACCCCTCCAAGCTCATTACCATTATGGACTACAATCTCAAGTTTAGTTTACTAATGTGTATTGAGATTGTAGTCCATCATGGGAGTGAGCTTAGAGAGGTGGCTACTTTATAACACACACAAGGACCATGGGGAACAAAATTAACCACCCTCCAGAAGGAAGGACCGTGTCCAGAGAATATTTGGGGATCTACAGCTGAGTGATGCACAAATAAGCTAAATTTTTCTTAACAATTAAGGTACTTGAATGCTTTTTCAATAGGGATGTTCAGATACCAAGTAATGTACGAGGCAGCTGTCATTGTCCTTGAATTTGTGTATCCCTGTTTTTAATGTAATGATTTGTTATATATATATATATTATATAGGGATGCACCAATGCCATTTTTTTCCCAGACCAAGTACTTGTCCAAGTACTTGGATACAATTACCAATACATTTTTGTGTCATTTGACAGTTTTTCTAAAACCATGCAGACCAATGACTTCAGGACAGTGGTGGAGCACCAGAGCCAGGTCCCAGCTGCAACCTCTGCAACCTGGTAGTTCTTTTGAAAATGCCAAGTATTGGCATTGGTATCTGAACATCCCTAATTGTTGAGATTTAACTCCTTAGTTTAGTGTCACTTCAAGGTGGCCTGCAAGTTAGTGTGGTTACAAAGCTATCTAAAGTTGGTTCTACACTTCATGGCCTGATTTTACAATATCCCTTAGGAGGACTGCACATGGTACAGTCTCTTTTTACATTTGTAGTACTTACCTGATTAAATAATTGAATCATTTGAATAGGTGAGCCCATACTGTACATCAGGTTTCTATGTGTATGATTCTGTATCCTGCTAACCTTTTATTCCCAGATCCCTCTCTCCATGCGTAATTGCTGTGAAATGTTTGTGCTTTTATGTAACTTTTTGAATAAATCTTGATTTTATTCCCTGTGACATCATTTGGGGGGAGAATTCAATAAAACAGTTTTCTGGTGGAATGGTTAAAACAACCTGCACCGAATTATTATTATTATTATTATTATTATTATTACCGCTGTTGCTGCAACATATTCAAACAGGTTAGGAAACTGCCAATGATTAAAACCAACTATTATGTGGCTTACAGAGAGACTCCAGTGCTCAGAGGGGCACATGTATGTGCTGGGAAGCTGTCATGAATGTGGCATCTTCCCATTCATGATTTATTGATTGCTAGGACACTGGCCAATGGCATCTTAGCAACCAATTTTGCATTCCTGGCCCAGTTATGGTTGTGGCGATATTTGGGTAATGATGACAGCCAACACTTCTGGGGTACCCCTGGTTTAGATTGGTACCCTCAAGCTTATAAAGTCCTTTTCAGTCCCTAACCTTTTGTTCTGTCTTTTTCTGAGTATACCTTTTTTTTAACGTTAGTCTTTGCTGGATCCCATAGCTCTCTTCTCAATAAAGTTATGATCATTCCACTCTAGGAGTCACTGTCTTTCAAAGATGCTACAGACAGAAAGGTAGAGCCAGCATCGAGAACCATGAATATATTTGCTGGAGCCTTAATCCAGCCTGTTATGGCTTCCACGTTGGTCTCCTAGACTTTAACTGAGTGGTCGAAATCCTACACCAAGGTCTCACAAAAGAACAGGTTTCTCCTGCTTATGTCAAGTTGGCTTAGCAGATGGTGCTACATAGTTACATAGTATTTGGGGTTGAATAAAGACATACGCCCATCAAGTCCAACCCATATAGGTCCACGCATCATCTCATTCTTAGGGATACTAGTACCCCTGGATATTACGGTCCCTCAAGAAATTGTCCAAACGTTTCTTGAACAAATCTACACTCTTGGCTGAAATCACTGCCGATGGCTAGGTTTGAAGCTTGCGATGCAGCCTTTTTGTGTTTGCATCTGTATGCCAGTTTTGGGTACAAGGCTATGCAGGTGGCAGCATGATCCTGCCTTTTCTTTTTAAGACTTGAGGGTAAATCGTACTTTTTCTGGCCCACCCCTATGTAGACACTATCTGCAGTGATGTCCTACTCCTGCAGGTTGTGCAATAACCAGTGGTGCCAGATCTACACTCCTTCCTGTGTCGTTCAATGAATGCAGAGAAAAGGAATTTTCAGCAAGTACAAAAATCCTGTTTGTTTTTTTTCCCTTCCGGAATATTTTTGTCTTAAATCAACATTTCCGTACATTCTGCCTGAGCTGGTCTCTATAAAACATATATAAAAATATATAAACAGCTGTTTGAATTGGCATATATTTAGGAATAGCTTTGGAGGGTGTACCCAAATACTGCTGACCTGAATGACTGCGGCGATAACCTGGAAGGTGTCTTAGGACACTGGGTCCCACATTGGGGCACTTTCAAGACCGGAGTGTACCATATTGATTAGTAGCAGAGCATTTTTCTGATTCAGAACCATGGCGCACAGCCTTTGATGTGACCCAGTCTCTGATGACGGACTTTGTAAGTGTGGGTAGAGTACCAGGAGTTGCCTAACTATTGGGATCATTTGGCATCTTTATTATCCCTCTTTTGCAGTAGTTTTATGCGGAAAGGGTTAACCCTGAAGGACCAAGTGATGACACACTTGAGTGTCATGGTGTGCTCTTCCCACCAATTCATTATGAGGTATCATCTCACTACTGCTCCTAGTCGGAAGTGACACAAGGATCTTCCTTAGTTGGTCTTTCGTGTCTGACTACATTGACCTGGCCAGCTCCACCTCTACAGCTAAAAGCAGCCAGTTTGAGAGTACCCTAGGGTTAACCTTATACCCTAAGCCACATTGTCCCTGCTTTGCTTCGCAAGAGGTGCCAGACACATAGGAACCAGCTCTCAGGGCATTGTGAAGAGTACATTCTTGCCTCAGAAGAAGACTTTGGTAGAAAAGTCTTCTGCTCTCTTCTTTAAGTAAATTTACTACCATTCTTCACAGACTTTGGGGCCCAAAAAGGGCCCCAAACCCAAAAAGGGGACAGTTCTATCCCAAGACCTGGGCCTCCAAGCTCACTAAGGCAGGAAAGAAGCCACCTTTGCAAAGAAGGGACACTTTTATAAGTAGGGTGACATGTTACAGCCTTCTCTGTATTCTGTGTGGGGGACATATTGATGCCTGATTTCAAAGCGTTGTTACCAAAAGGCTTGAAGCTGGCATTTCTTTCTTTGCTTTCTCCTCGGTTTTCCAGTCTGCTCCAATCTGTTCACTGCCCTAAGTTAGATCCTTTTTCAGGGGGTCATAGTCCCTGTTCAGAGTCAGAAATGTTGCTGTGGTTTTAGTCCAACCTCTCCACTGTCACTAAGGGAGGGGTTTGTCCAATTTTAGTTTTAAAGATCCTCAACCGGTTCCTGCGAGTTCAAAAAGTTCTGGATGGAATCCACCAATTTTGTCATTGCCTCCCTTTACCCAGGAGATATTCTGGCCTTATTGGACAGCAAGTATGCGTATTAACACATCCCTTTTTTCTCTTCCCACTGTCACTTCCTGTGTTTAACTGTGGGCACCCAGCATTTCCAATTTGTTGCTCTTCCCTTTGGTCTGCCCACTGCACCGAGTGTTCACCAAGGTGCTGGCCCTTGTCTTGGCTATGCAGCGCTCCCAGGGGATCCCCATAATGGGGTAATTTATATTACTTGCACCTCAGGGAGCAGTCGGCATCAGGCCTGTCACCCAAAATTTAGCAGATGTTACAGAGCTTTGGATTGATCCTGAACCTCCACAAATCTGTGCTGGAGCCTTACCATCAACTGAAAGCCTAGCTCTGGCCTTGGACATGACCCTGTTCAAGATCTTTCTTCCCCTAGAGAAGCTTTTGACTCTGTTCTCACACACTGGAAACCTATGGTCCAAGAGCCATACAACTATTTGCTTTTGCATGAAGGTTCTGGGACTTCCCTATGATCTGTTGCAGCACAACATCGTAGCTCGCCCATCTCTCACAAGACAGTTGGTGATCAACTACGAATGCCAGCCTGTAGGGCTTGGGCAGAGTCCTGGAGAATCCTTCAACCTAGAAGACCTGGTCATCGGAGGAAATGCAACTCCCAATAAACATCAAAGCTTCATATTCAGGCCCAGTCCTCTGCAAAAATTCCAGGTGTGGAAAACTGGCAGATGGACTACCAGTGCCATTCAGTCATCGGTGTCTACATCAGGGGAGTGGTCCCTTCATTTCCTAGCATCCAGTTCAACAACAAACTGGATAGGTTTGTTACAAACCCCATGAAGCGTCGAACAATATACTGGTTGCTACAAAACTACTTAGTGGACAAGAAAGAATTTGAGATTACCATAAGATCCATTTCTTGGAGTCAATTGTGGAACACATGAATTAAGAAGATAACCCCTCTTTGTTTGAATTTGCTCTTGCTACTGCTTTGTGACAAAGCTGAGGCATGCTTGGGAGCAGGAAGGCTTCTACTGGGCTAGCCCACATTTTTGTTTTGTCAGTATCCAATCTTCCTGCGGTAATGTAACCCAACAGTCTCTGAATTCCTGTTTCCTCAATGGACTGCCAAAAAAATGGATTTTATGCCAAGTACAAAAATCCAATTTTTCTCTCTCAGGGAAATTTGAGAAGTCAGAGACTTGGGCCGCTATGATCTATTTATTACAAAATACTTTATGGGTAGACTGACCATTTAATATTAGATTGTTCTGTGGGTGCCTATGGATAAGTGAAGCACTAGATTACACAGATGCAGCCTAATGCTCGTTAGTTGTAGATATGCAACATCACATTTGGCATTCCCTGGTTATATCTACATATCTTGGCAGTCAAGATGTACAGGAATGTTTTCCAACAAATGTCAATCAGAGGGCAACTGAGTAGTCGCCAGTATTGCACCCCTTTCCCCAGAACTGACCTATCAGCCTTTGTTCTGTGCTGTCTCCATGTAGAGGCAGTCACCTTGGAAGAGAAGCAGGGCTTTGCTTTATCATTTTTCATAATTGTATTATATTTCTTGTCTCATAGGTTCAGAATATAACATTGTTACAGCTGAAGGGATCCCATTTGGACCCTGACCAGATGGAAAGATTGCAGTCAATGGTTGAACAAAAGAACAGTGAAATAGAAAAACTCCTTGTAAAACTGCGGCATCTGGAAAAAAATCAGGTTTGTATATTAAATCTTTTTTTGTTCTCATGTATATTGGGGTCATGCCTTGTAGCTTGCTGTAGACAATTTTGGGGATTTTCAGCCATATATATTGCTAGGCATTCTTCATATGAATGTACATCGATTTTGCAAATATTATCCTTATCATATGCAGGAATAATTTCTTTGTATTGTTTGGTAAGTAAATATATTAATATAGCATTCTCATCCAGGCAATAAATGAAATGCTAGGCCTCTCTTCCCATGTGTAATGCTGGGGTTAAGTTCTGCAGTATTCATAACATGAATAGAAATAGAAATCATAACATGAAAAGAATAGAAATCTCCACAAATAAAAGAAAAAAAGAGTTTTGAGAGGCGAGTCTCCTGCCTTGCAGCACATCTGTAAAGGAGCTTGAAGAGGAGTCAGAATACCCAGAAAGTCTTAAGCATCAGACATGCAAAGCTGCTAAAGTGGAAGTCTGTCCTTCACCTTCCCCAAACATATAGGGAAAATATATTCAGAAATGGCCTTTAGAATAACAAATTCACACTAATGCAAAAACAAGCCTCTGCAAGAAGAAGCAGTCATAACCTACATTACCTAGTATATTGTAAAATGCTTTGGAATGTTGATTGTATTCTTTAGTGGCAGTATAGACCACTGTTTACTTGTCATGCATGGGATTTTGCCACCATATTGATGACGGCCGTCCAGGAGTGCAGAAGTGACTGGTCATCCTGCGTATCCAAAAATACTGCAAGTGTGTTGGGATATTGCTTGCATCACATTGATGCAAGCCAGATGATGCAGTCACGCATTTTTGGGGCAAATATATAAGCTGAACACGGCTAGAAACATGGCACTGGTTATTGCACATGTGTAGGGCTGTATAGTACCAGAATATTGTTGGTAACACTACAGGCTTGTGCAGGCTCATCTTAATGACACAGACCATATTGCTAATAAACAAAGACAAAACCTTAACACCATCTTAAGGAAGTGTAGTTAGGAAGGTAATCTTTGCCCTTTCCAAGTATAATTTATATTAAAAATAAGCTTCCTTTTTTTTTTTTTTTTATCTCCAACGGAGCTAATGCTTATCCTATATTTTGTAATTATGAACATTTTAGTCCAGAATGTTGTAATAAACCTAGCACACCTACTATATCAGCAAAACTAGTGCTATACCTTTTTTTCCACATAAACAAAGATTTTGCCATGGCCTGCCTAACTTTGCTCTGTTGATAAAATAGCTCAAAACTGTGGCCTCTTACATCATCACCAGCTGACCATAAGCTTGTGTTGGGAGGAGCAAGTACATGGGAAGTATTATTGTGTCCACCATTTAGCAGTCAGGTGGCTGAGTGTAGTTCTTAAAATTTGATCACATGACCTGAAATAATGAATCCACTTCTGACACCATTGTGGTGCAGAGGGCTTAATCACATGACCTAAAATGAAGAATCCCACCACTGGCACCATTGTAATGCTTGCTGCTTAAACTCTCTTTATTGATAATCTGATCTTGAAGGGATCTTTTGATCACTTTCTCATGGCTCATCATCATGGGTTGGCTCATCAACAATTAATTTGCAATGGCCCCAAATAACTGATTTTTATATTCTATTTAAACCTCTCGACATAACATCAGTGAAAACACACACATGTGTGCACACAAAAAAATTTAAAATAACAATGCTTTCATACATCACAGGGAGTTAATTTGTAAACCACTGGGTTTATGCAGCTACCTTCAGGTGACTGGACAATGGCAAATCAATCAAAGCTGCAGGACCCCTCCCACTCCCAGCCTGCCTTAGTTTTTTAATAGTGTCCTTATGTGATGGACGTCTTTGCTTTCCTCCTAAGTACTTTATTTTTCACTGTTTTTTGTTCACTTATTTTTTTCTGCAAGATACTTCAAGCTAGTTTCCGCAAGCCACTATGGCGCCACCAGCAGCTATCTAAATTGGTTTCCATTTCAGCAGAGCTTTGGCAGACTGTACCCTGATCCGCTGATAAAGGAGGCGCCATTCTTATGGATTATGCCAACTTCAGAACAGGCATAATTGATCTTTTGTCTGATTTGCATGCCAACCTTCCAATCCTGCGTGATCCGCTACCATCTATATTAAATGAATGAATGAGGGCATCTCAGAGTGGCTTTACAATCAGCATGCCCGCACACACGTAATTTACGGATTACCTAAAATTCATAAGGGACAGAATCCACTCACCTTTAGACCCATTGTAGCTGGAACTTGTTCAGTGTTGCAGCCTTTGGCTATGCTTTTGGACCACTTTCTCCTACCTCTGGTGAAAGATTTGCACTCGTATACCCGTGACACTAATGATTTTCTTATGAAACTGAAAATGTATTGAAGTGTTTGAACCAGGTTGGTCACTACTTACAATGGATGTATCCTCACTATATACATGTATTCCAACAGATGAGGGACTATAAGCGGTTGAATACTTTCTGTCTTGGAGAGAGTCACCATCCCCTCCAACTGCTTTTATTTTGGAGGGGCTGAGTACTGTTTTAGACAACAACTACTTTCTGTTTGAGAAAGAGTACTTTCTCCAGTCTAAGGGAACTGCCATGGGCAGTTCGGCTGCTCCTTCTTATGCCAATTTATTCATGGGATATTTAGAAGATCTCTTTATATACCCATCACAACTCTTTAAAGATGTCAGACTGTGGACGAGATACATAGATATCTTCGTGGTATGGTCTGGACCCCGCGACACCATACAGATCTTTGTCCAATACCTTAACACACTCATAGAGGGTATTATTTTTAAAACAGAGGTGTCAGACTCGAAAATCTCCTTTTTAGATGTGACGTTAGCGATTAATCAGGGAATGATTACCACCTCCCTATATAAAAAAACCCACCGATTGCAATAAGTTGCTTTCTTACAGCAGTGCACACCCTGATGGACTGAGGGATTCTCTACCTATATCTGCTTATCAGGGTTATGCGTATATGTTCTGATTCCACCGATTGTGAAGTACAGCTACAGATGATGTATACGAAATTTAGTGAGAGGGGTTATCCTGATCATGTACTGGACCATACACTAGAAGTTGCGAGAACTAGATTACAAGTACCTAAATGTAAGGAGACACGTCCGAATGACACTCTATTTATCACTAATTACCATCCATTTTCACATCAGGTTAAACACACACTTCAACGGAATATGAATATTCTGAAAGCAGATAGAACTCTGACTCCCACTATTAAACACACACCCCGTGTTGTCTACTCCGGTAATAGATCCCTACGAGATCTACTGGTCTGTGCGGATCCTTACCCCTGGTCTGTGCGGATCCTTACCCCAAGTATGACACCTTGCCATACAGGTTTTCTACAAAACAGGGCTGCTACAAATGCCACAATTGTAGTGTTTGTAACTCACTTATCACTGGTGACTCTTTCTGTCACCCCCATACAGGGAAGAAATATTTCATCCATGGCTATTTGAACAGTATATCCGAGTATTGTGTATACATGCTTAAATGCCCGTGGTCTTTGGTTTACATGGGCAAAACCATTAACCCTTTCAAAAAACGTTACCAAAAGTGACAATAAATTAGCGAATGAATACAAACAATTGGGTAAAGACCCTGATCCAAATAAACCAGTGGCAATACACTTTGCCCAATTGAATCACCAGATACACGAGCTTAGGGCAATGGTGATCGAATATGTGTCAAAACCTAACCGTGGTGGTGACAGGGACAATATTCTGTTACGTCGAGAAGCCTATTGGATCCATACGTTAAGTACAGTAAAGCCTAGAGGTTTAAATACTGCCCTATCTCTGTCCTGTTTTTTGACTGACTAGTGCAGTACTGTGTGGCTTTATCCTCCGTCTGTTTCCTCTTTTTAAACTCCTATTTTTCTTTATTTTGTTGCAAGTGTGCTGACCACTCATTGTTATTTTCCATTTGACCTTTGCAAATTGGCGATATATGGTGGATGGTCTGTCTTAAATATTTTTGTACCGAGGATTTATATGCTTATTTTTTTTATATAGATATCCGATATGTATATTTTTATATTGATCATCTACCTATATCTCTATGCCAGGTTAGTGGAATATCTATGATTGGATCAGCACATGACCTTTTATATTATGATTCTCTTTGTCATTCTTTTTTCTAGTCCGTAGTGTCTGTATCTGTGTTAATATATATAAATGTTGCACTTGTCATTTACTTAGTTATCTATATTACCAGCTTATTGCCTAGGTTGATGGTTCTGGGTCATAATTCTTTCAGGTTGCAGCGTTATTTTATGCTATTGCCCGCTTGCTTTTCCCACACTTGACTTTGTTATGCTATTGCTCGTTTTCCCACACTTGACTCAGCTGTTCAAATGTATTATTTCCACCCGTATGCTTTGTTGACATCAGAATAAGTTACGATGCCGCTCCCGGTCACCGTGGTGATGGATGATGCGGTTTATCTGCGCTGGCACTGGTCGTATGCTTTCCGGTCTCCCACACTCGACTTCACTGCTCGAGTTCACTGTCCCCAGTATTGCGCTCTGCGACTACACCAATCAGTTTTGATGCTGTCTCCGGTCACCATGACAATGGATGACGCGGATTCTATGCGCCGGCTCACTAGAACTAGGGGCGGAGAATCCCAGCGCGATCTCAGGTTTGCGATATCCTGTTTCTCTTTAGCCACACTGGCGCCTGCAGTTGGATTATTCTAGTGAGTGCTGGTGATTCCTCTTCCTACATTGTGTCTGCACGGTGCCATCCGTGTTCATCACTACAAGCACCACTGTCTACATATTGCTGCAAGGTGTGCGGAGGATTTCCCCTTCTATCCAACTTAGGTGATGGACGTCTTTGCTTTCCTCCTAAGTACTTTATTTGTCACTATTTTTTGTTCACTTATTTTTTTCTGCAAGATACAGCAAGCTAGTTTCCGCAAGCCACTATGGCGCCACCAGCAGCTATCTAAATTGGTTTTCATTTCAGCAGAGCTTTGGCAGGCTGCACCTTGATCCGCTGGAAGGAAGATGCATGGCTAGCCTGGAATGTGCTCAGTCACTGGACCCTGCATTCAGTGCCCACCTTGGCACTTAGTGCAGCATGTGTGGTTATCCACATGGTGTTTTACAGGTCCAGGGCCATGGTCCTTTAATGGAGCCCTGATCCTGAAGAGGTGGTGGGGTATGCCCACCCAGTGGGTGAAAATCAGATGGCACATCTCCACTAACCGCTGTGCATCTGTGTAAGAGTCAGAAGACCCTCAGGTAAGCTACAAATATGCCCCACAGCTGCCTTGTTGGCAGCCTCACTCCCCCATAGTGTTAATTCGGAGACTTCTGCTAGAACTTGAAGTTACACTTAAAGAACTATGAGGTGAGTGATTTCCACCCATCCTCATAGTAAGAGCCGACCTGTGACAAAGAAGCTGTCACAGGTCGGCTCTATTGATCGGGAAATGAGAGCATGCATACCGTCGCTAGTTCACTTCCCGATTGTCTCCCTGCAGGGATTCCCCCTCCCCCTGTCCGATCCTCCAGCGCTGCATGGAGGAATGGCTGGGGAAGGGGTGGGCACAGATAGATAGGCAGAGCCCGCTGTCACTCACGCAGATGCATGGATCCAGACAGTATTGTCGGGATCAGTCTTGGCTGCGGCTCTCACTATATCGCTATATATAAAGAGAACTATGAGGAAAAACACTTACCACCATCTCTGAGTTATTGTGGGCGTATGCACATGGTGGATCATAAGAGCGGGGTTACTGGTGCAGGGGGCTCACAGTCAAATCGTGGCTCAGGTGAGGGTTCTACCTCCTCTGGGAACAATGTTTCTGTCAGTTCCATGCTGTGCTCCCTTTCCTCTTCTCTGCTAGCTTTATGGTCCTCCTGTGCTCTTGTGCCACCCTCCTTTTTAGTATCCGTTCCAGAGAGGAGTTTACTACAGTTGTGGTGGATTTTATAGGAAAAATAGCTGATCTCTAACTTCCCCTCTCCTGTTCCCTTGTAGAACCTGTCTGACTCTCCTCTACCTGTGTTTTTGCTTTGTGAAAAAGAGGGAAAGGAAGGAACAGTCTCCAGTTCTCAGAAATCCTCTCATTTAATGAGAGCTGTGATGGTGCAGTGTCAATATGGCTGGTGCTTTTATAGTAGTAGTTTTTTGCACAGGTATTCTGGTTTCTTCAGAGCAGCACACAAACCAATGTATTCAATCAACACCACCTTTTCTAATTTTATGAGAGCGCTGAACAAAATTTTTTTGTTTCTTAGGAACCTGTTCAATAGGGAGAATGTTTAGTAATACTAAACATACTTTAGTTCTAGTCCAGGGTAAATGGCGAACAAGATATGTGCGCATGGTGAAGCACCAGAATGTATTGGATCGGGGTTTCAACACCTGTAGGGACATATGTTTTTTCACTATATCACCATGAGTGGATTGTGAAGGATTAATTTTAAAGACTGTAAATTTAATTGGGGCTTTGATGGGTTTTTTCAGCATTGGCACTCGGGAATCCAGTGTGAATTTATGTATGTGAAGTTGTTTTCTGTCAGGCACGTTAGTACATGGGATCACTCACAGCTGAATTTTAACACTTGTTCGTCTTCTTGACGCTCTACTATTGTTTGCATTGCACTTTGAGTCATTTTTTTAAAGCACTGCACCAATATTTATTTATTTTTTTCATTTGTTTTCATGCATAGCATTATTCACATCTAGGTGTTAGATGCTTAGCATACTGTTTATATGGATTAGTGCGGAAAGTTTTACATTTGTATTTATTCACTAAAGGTAAAAATAAAGGGGAAAACCTTTTAAAAAATGCACTTGCCACATCTAAAAGCTAATGTGCTGCAGTATGTTACATTTTGTTTTCTTGCTTGAGATATGTATTAAATTGGTTATCTCTACTGCGTAATGGTCTCCTTTTGAGCTGCTACAAGAGGTCCCTTTTTTGTCTCGGGTGGCCATTCTTGTGGCCATCACTTTGGCCAGGAGGTTCTCTGAGCTCTGTCTTGTCTTGACTGATAATTTTTGTTTTCATTCACAGGGACAAGTGTGTCCTGAGACCTCAATCTTCTTTCTGCATAAGGTTGTGTCCTCTTAGCATTAAGTTTACCTCCATTTGTTTATCATCCACCTAACCAGAGGAGCTTGCCCCACTGGTCAACTCATTTAATGTAGGGGGGGGGGCTTAAGTGCAGCTCCTGAAATCGCCAAAGAGACGTCAGACAGCAGACTTGTAATAGGGGTTGCAGTCATTTACATGCTATAAAAACTTTTCTGTGTTTGAAACTCTTTTACTCTGTTCAAACATCTTTTTACATACTAAAATGTGTGTTTGTTTCTAATATTTTTTAATTTTTTTTTAGCAGCAAAATTGTGAAAATACTGCAAACCTTAATACACATGCTTTCCTCCAGAATGATGATGTCTATTATGTTGACTTACTGAAAATGAAACTTGAACAGTCCAGGTTTGTTTTCTTCTAACTTTTGTGTGTGTTTGTGTATGTGTAATCTATGAACTCCAACTTACAGCAGGGCCAGACAAATCCCAGGAGGCAGATGGCCAGTGCTCCCTAAAAGTTGGTGCCAAACTTTTGAGGTTTTCTCTAGTTGCAGTCAATTAAACTGGCATTAAAAAAAACCCTGCTGGCTCCTAGATTGGACAGGCTTGCTCATTTGTTTATTTTGTCCACTCCTGACTTAAATCAATCTTGCTTGGTAGGTTCTGGTTATGGAAAACTGTCTACTTCAGAATTAGTTGTGCACCAGCTCCAGAGAACTTAAAAAACCTATGGCCAAATCTTTTTTGGCCATAGTTCTCTTCAGCATTTAGCGGGCTATTGCCCGTTATATGCTTACAGCGCAGAGCTGACAATATTGTCGGGATCCACCCCGCTGCCCGACTGACACTGCCTCTCTAGAGGCAGAGTTAGCTGTGCCCCCCTTCTGTCTGTCCCTCCAACCAGAGAGGGGAGGGGGGAATCCCTGTAGGGAATGGTGACTGACTGACAGTCATTGTTCTCTGCTGGGAGAAGATTGTGAACTGGTACATGAATGCTCAGTTCTCGATCTATAGAGCCAAAGTGTGACAACTTCAGTGTCGCACGTCGGCTCTAGGTATTGGGGATGAGTGAATTTCACTCATCCCATAATTCTCCTTTAATCTTTTTTAATGATTGTGTTGATTATATGAGAAAAAAATCTACCTCTTGCACACTGTATTTGTGCCCTTTACTCAAATGAATGGGGGAGTGCTGGAAGGAGTAGAGTGTGATTACACAAACTGACCAGCCTCTCCACAAATCATGAACTGTTGTCTGCATCCTTATGCCTTGGGTAACCACTGCAGCATCCTGCTGAGTAGATAGTGATATCTATTCTTTGTTATGAATGGGCCCATAATCTAAATTAAAATACATATTTTCAAAATAGCCAGTGGCCCTGGTGCGCTGCCCCACCATCTCTTGCCCTACCTTGCCACTGGTCTGGTGCCTGGGTCTGCTGGGCCCCCCCAGACTCAGGCCCCAGTGCAGCTGCATCGGCGGTAGTTCCGCCTCTGAAAGTATCCACGTGAATGCCTGTGTAACTCCTTGGAAAGTGACCGAAATAAAATTTCAACAGTTACAAAGTCAGTTTAACTATACATAAATTGTATTACTTTTTTTGTAGTAAAGAGATGGAGAAGTTGAAGGACGAATTATCCCTACAAAGAATGAAAGCATTAGCAGAAAGCCAGCGTGTTTTAGAACTTGAACGGAAGCTGTTTACAAATGATAGGCACCTTAAGCTTTCCAGAAATGAAAACCTGAAACTTCGTCTCAACTTGGATGAACTGAAAATGAAATATGAACCTGATGGTACTAAATATACATATTTTAGCTCAGTTTAATTGAATTTTTTTGTGGGTTACTATGACTTGGAAATGTATCCTTCCTATATTTGCTCCAAAACAAAAGGCGTGGGGAGGGGGTTGTTCTAGCTACATTGATGAAGACTTGTGCATCTTTTGCACTGTACCTGTGGGTAGAAAGTTATCAAAATGTCTTTCTTTGCAATTCTGGAATGTCCAGGTGCCTGCAGATCATGGCTGATTCTCTGTACTGTGCCATAGAGCCCTAAATTCCTGGGGGATTTGATATGCAATAGAGACTAGCTCCTATGGTCGGTCACTTGCTCCATCCAACCTCCTCCTGTGCTTTATATTTGGCTATGTCAGCAGTGGATGGCATCACTAACCAGTAGTATCTTGCAGACAGGAGCTGGTCAATACCAGAGGAGAACATGGTAGCTGGTTGTGTTTTGCATATCAGGGCATCCTGGTATTCAGTGTTTCTGAGATGCTTTATAAAGAAACAGGAATAACATGCAGATTCTGTAGTGTGGCCAGGGGTGCATCTACTGCAAGGCAAACTAGGCATTTGCCTAGGGCGGCCAAAAAATGCTACCCCTAAACCAGTTAGGTAAGAGGAAAAAAAATGTATATTATAAATGATTCATAAATTACTGCCAGTACCCCTGGACCTGGTGCTTTTTTGACTGGGGGACCAACTTGTCCACCTACGCCGCCTACTCCTACATCTATGCCGGCTGCAGATCCTTCCTCTACTTGGTCTACATGCTGTGCAATGTATTGGTGTGTGTGACTTTCGTCCAGATGCACTGGCAGTTCGTGCGCCGGACCTCCCTGGGAAACCAGCACCCAAATTTTTGCAGGACCCCAGGGCTGAGATCCAGATGGTCATCGTGCTCATCAGCACCTCCGTGGTGGTGAGACCAAGGAAGTGCAGCCTATAAGCTCCGTGCAGGGTTATGTCTCTAGAGCGGGGCAAGCTACAGAGCCCAGCGGCCAAGGCAGAAGATTGGTAACTGCAGAATTAGACAGCCCAGCATAATAAGGCAGAAGATTGGTGTTGCAGCTGCAGAACTAGAGACTAGCATGGCAGGGCAGGAGAGAATGGATATTATAGCTGCAGAACTAGGGAGCCCATCAAGCCAGAAATGGAGAAGGTGGCTATTGCAAAGGTAGAACTTGAGCATCCCGCTATGTTGATAGCGCAACCTGTCAGAATCTAGATACACCGTGCACGATGTATCCCGCGACTGACAGGTTATGCAAAATGTCTAAACAGGAAGGGGTGGGACTAATTTAGATTTGGGATGGGGGGTGCTCGGGTTTTGTTTTGCCTAGGGCAGCACAAAACAAAAATACACCACTGAGTGTGGCCAAGGAGCCATAGATTCCAGGGGCTTTAAAATGCCAGTAAGGACCAGCTTCTACCGCTACTTCCTGCAATTTACTACTGGTAAGGGGGCAATAGAAGGGCGCAGAACAAAGTAAGTGGCAGTAACATAATGAAGCAGTTTTTTTGTTTGGTTTTCATGACCGCAATGAAGATTACTTTAGATTCAACTCGTAGGTGTCCAGGCTGTTATGCTGATCCTACAATTTGGTTCATACTTGTTCTGGGTCAGTTTAGTGAAAAATATTTAGGCATTTCAGCATGTTAGAACTAGCATTTTCATAAGGTGCTCAGCAATTCCAGCTCACTTCTCTCATGACCAGTTGCCTTCAGTTTGAGGCTCCAGATAAACCTTATTTTGGAAAAAAACAAACAAGCTTTTATTGTATACAGTATGCTTTTAAGTCATTGTGAAAAGTATCTATCCAACATGTATTGCAATGACCATAACGTTTAAAACTTGCCAGTCAGAAGTAGGTTGTCTTCCTGCTTTTGTAAGAAAGAATGGGTACTTAAATTTTGTTGTGGGTATTTTTTTTTTTTAAGGTCAGGTTTGTAAATACGTACATTGCCCTTTCAATGAGAAGTCTGCAGTTCGCTTAAAGGGTATTAAGACTTTTGCAGCAAAATTTGAGAACCCCCCTTTATATGTTTGTTTGTGTTCCTATTCACACAGCATACTTAAAATTATAATTTCTTACCTTTTTACTGGTTTCTTTGGAGCAGGATTATACATAGGACTCTGCAGGCTCCTTCTAGTGGTTAGAATAGATGACTGTGAGCTGGATTGAGGGACAGTTTCTAAAAGTTCATTAACATACAAGGTCTTTACCCTTTGTTAAAACAGACAGTCTTGTCTAGTTTACAAGTGATAATTAATTATTTGAATCAAATTAATAATTATTAATTATTTGAATCAAAACTCCCCCCCCCCCCCGCCACCCACAAGACTG